AATCCAAGAGATTTACGGGTCCAGAAGCAAGCTAATATAAAAATAGGACAAGCAAACATGTTATATTTTATAAATTTTGATTAGTGTACTCTATGAATTACGCGTCTAAAATAATTTTATATGCAACACTTATCTCATTTTCTCTTGAGATGCCTACAAAGGATTCAGTACAGAAAAATCACAGATAAGTGACCATGCCATCAACGTGTAGAAAACTCGGCACTATTTTCTTTCTCTCAGCGGATATAAACCCAGCGTGAGGAAGTTTGTCATCGGATCTCGACAAAAAAAAATCAAACCAATATCTTTGATATCATACTCAGGTATCAGGAAGAATAACAGATTATGACCGTTGGAAAGGATATTAATCTTTCAAAATGAATCTTGTCCACTTTATGAATTTTAGAGAGAGAAAAAGTACAACAAATATGTAGTAATTACCCATAAAAAGCTAGTTGAAGGAATCCTTTCGTGAATTTGTTTAATATTGGTTAACATTAATATGCAATCCATTTCCAATATTTCTGTTGCAAAGTTTTTGCCGACTTGGTTTCAGTTGATCACAGTATGGCGTATAGCTTGCCCAACAAAGCAGTATTGGTCATGTTGTAACCAACCGGGTCGGCCAAACTCTATGGTTTATGGCTCTGTCCTCGCCTCTACCCCTTCCAATCTCGTCCTGTGATTTTAATATTAAACCATGAGCACTACCACAAATTTAACATTAAAGAGAAGGTTGAGTTCTGGGAAGAGGTAAAAATAATTTGTGAGCGTTATCATTCTTATTATGCAAGTGTGGAAGAACATCAGATAAGACATGTTCCCTGAAAAGCATGGCTCTTCAAATGCCTTCATATTCTAAATATGGCATGTAACATCGTAAAAATCGGGGGTAGGATTTTTACGCCACGTGTTCGTGTAGTCCCATATACATCTTTCTGTGTACAGTGTTTGTAACTTCACCAAGACTTGGCCAAATATCTCATCATTTTGATGATTCCAGAACCTTGCAATACACACGAATTCTTATATGTTAGATGATCAACCTTTTCTGGTCGATCCCACACCGTTTCTGTCACAATGCAATCGCATGACCAGAACTCAACTTCATCTTTAAACACGGGATGGAACCACAACATAGGGTGTGGGCATTGGTAAATCATTCAGTTATGTTTTCCTTCCTATCTTCCGAAAAAGGGACAATGATTCTATATACGCTCTGTTCATTCTGAACATTCCTTCATCCCTTCGTAAACAAAAGTTTAATTTCATTTTATTTTCGGCACCCATTATTTTGTCCTGTTTCATCCATTTTCTCTCTCTGAACCTCATATAGAACCGATGGAGAGCAATCATAGAGCTCTTTTTCTCTCTTTTATCCTCGCCAAGATTTAAAAAATGGCAAAATCCGATTCATTAAAAAAAAACCTTGAGAGTTACCGTTACATGTACATCTTAGACATTTATTCTATACGTCATCCGTTGTTGGAAATATAGCATGCACCGGATATCGCGCATACCAGTTTCACAACAATGCAATGTCTAAAAACACTATTCTCTATGCTTCCACCACTTACCAGCATACACTGTATAAACTTACTTGATTTATAAACCAGATTTCAGTGATGTCATGCCCTCATTATCAATGAAAACAAATTCATAATAGGTGCCAGTCGTCTGATGATTATGCCAACATCATGCCCCTGATCAGATAATGCTTTCATATCTTTCAAATCTTAAAATCATCGTATACAGACAAAGACGGGGCCTCAATGTTTCATTAAGAAAGTTATTTGAACAAAATTAAGAGAAATGACTCACTTTTGTCAAAGAATGGTAATGACCTACAGGAGGAGGCATTCTCTATTCGTGTGATGACTAATTCTTACATCCGATCAATTCGTCATTCTGATCATGCTGATGTAACGAATTGCTCCTGATTATGTAATCTAAATCCAGGTTTACCAGTCGTACAGCATGTACAGCGTCGATGTAGATTTCCTCCACACTGTTTCTGCTCTATTATAGGCCTCTAGCCAGCGCAACAATGTTCTATTCAAAATTGCGCTAGATGAAAATAGAATACAATACATTTATTTAGTATATAGTTTGCCAGCTGAGTTTAGACACTGAGAATGTCCGAACAAATGTTCAAGGCGAAGAAACAATGCAAATTCCACGCATTTTTTAAATATTTTGGTGGGTGGTAGTGGTTATAGTGAAGAACCATGGTAAAATTCCTAACTACTTGGTCAGATAATCAGAGATGATAAAAACAAAAACATCATGACCACTTCCGACAACGAGACCAGTGCCAATGGAAGTTTATCGATCTTTATGAAAACGGTTTCGTGAGCAAATGATGTATATTATTAGGTATATCCTTATGATCCAATTTAACTGATTTGTTGTAAACTGATCTTATAAGACGTGATTTTGTATACAAAGCATGCAATATTCAGATGCATCACTATACTAAATTCTTAGCACTTAAAATGATACACAAAACCAAAACTCAATGATAGATATCGTCTGCAAGGGAATCAAAATTATGTTTAGTGCGGCCTTTGAGGCGGTTTAAGGCTAAGCTCTCATTTCCTCACAAAAAGAGATCTTTTTCATCCCGTCAATGCTCATCGGGTTGTGATAGTCATCTTCCCTCTCTCTCTCTCTCTCTCTCTCTCTCTCTCTCTCCATTTGTTCGTGTCTGTCTTCTCCTGCAGGAAGTAGGCAATTATGATAAGAAAACTGAGTTATATGCAGAGAAGTGGTAGGATTCTTCACGAACTATACAGACTTGTATACGCGCATTGGATCACGCGAGGCGCCAAATTGCAGAAAAGCCATCATGAAGAGTTGTTGAAAGTTATCTAACCGAATGAAACCATTCTGATTGTCTAGACGCCAACTTATCGAGTTATTGCCGATTGAAGATCAGGGCGGCTAGAGTGATAGGTACAAATTATTTCGTTATAGTATCGAGGGACCCTTAGCTTTTGACACATTGGAACAATGTAAGCCAAGTGTTCAGGTTGTTCTTAATTCACAATTTGTGAGACCCAGAAAGCCCTCTGGTCTTGTTCGATGGTATAGTGAGTGATACAAGGTCAGAAAGCATTATCTGAGCAGTCTCACTCCAATGTGTAGGCCATTCTGCAATTTCTTCTTTATTTTTTTCAAATTTGCTCTCGAGTACCTCTCAATTACTAACCTGAAAACCTCATTTTGTCAATCACTGTCCGGTGTCTGGCTTATGCTTCAAACGTACATACATACATACATATTGGTAAACGTTGTGTAAAATCTTTTCGACTGCCCTTTCTCCCTATAATGCATATGCCTACTTCTGCACCTCGATATACAAACCAAACCTTCTGCAAAAGTTCAACCAGAAGTCGAACCCCATCCTCCAGTCATCCTCAAATTGGCCTCCATGATTATCAACCTCATGATGTCTTCTGTTTCTAATTTTTTTCGGATATCGAATATGCTGAGTCAATATTCAAAGAAGAATAAAACATGCTTTCGTCTCCGTCATAACCCCTTCCTTCACTTTTCAAACAAGTAATACTATAATACAAGGCAAATAAATCCTTTTTTTTTTTTACCTTTCCATTGAATATTGAAGAAAAATACATCCAATCGAAAACATTGCAAATGTGTCATAAAAGTACAGTGACCTTCCTATCAGTATGGAGGAAAAAGCTGTACTTAACACGTCAGGAAAAGTGAAATACCGCATACTTTCAAAAGAATTCCTTATCTCAAACTATCTCGTGTTTGCCTTTTAATTAGTTACTCGTGATTTGATGGTGAGCGGGGGGTAGTGTGGGGCTAGAGGGCAGGAGAAGAAATTCGGAAGTTCCGTCGAGTTATGTTCGGCTTCCCTTGTTCTTACTAATTGAATTGTATTTTTGTCCATACTTTCACGGTAATTGCAAAGGATATCGTTAGTTTCCTTCTCGAGATCTTTGTTGGTTTACGAGGTCGTCTGTCATGCATGCAATGACCGGAATCTTGAACGTAAAAATACAGTTATGACAATCTCAATCACCTATACTACTTCTTTACGTTTGAGCATTCATTTCGAATGACCATAATAATCTTTTACTTTAAAAGAATGAGAAAAAAGTAATAATCATTTCTGCTAAACATTATTTGAAAAATAGGTTTCAATGGCATCATATTTAATAGCCTAGTTTTCGCTAATCGGAGTGTATGTGGTTAATAAAACAATGGATAAACAAAAGAGAACAATTTTGTACGAATGCTTTAGCAACTGAACATGGGGTTTGAAAGAAAGACCAATACATGATCATAAATGCAATATAGGCCAATTACCTTTAAGTGGATAGTCATGCTAGAAGGCCATACATCTTATTTTCGACTGGTACTTTTGAGTTCAAATGCCTATTGTTTCTGTCTCTTATAAAGTTGAAAACAAGGGCAGAGTATCGGATATCAAGATGTTTTTTTCCCTATACCAGGAAATACTGCCATAGAAAATACCAGTATTCGTTCTCTATAAGAAGATTAATTGGCTTAGCTACGCCGTATTGCTTCAGAAAGGATCTTCCAATCACGGAAATAAGATTCATAACAGGAACATTTCTGAAATATTTAGATGGATTGCGAACTATTAGGTTTCGTTAACTTTAAATTTTATAAACTTGTTTGCACAAAATAAATATTCTGTGCTATTTGCTCTATAAACGCAATGTTAACAGTTATTATTTTCGTTTCATATTCGTTTTGCTCGTAGAAAAAATAGTTTTGTCTGAATCATTGTAAGTGCTTTTTTAGGACATATTTTATTAATTAACATTTTACTAATTACTATTTTGCATCTTTTGATTCAGTTTGATTTAAAGACCTTTTTATTCTCACTCACAGCATCAAGACAACGTTAAAAATAATGTGGAGTAATCGTTGTAACTTAGCAATTTAATTTATTAATAATTAGAGAATCATGTTTTAGTATTTGTCTACAAAACACGGTAGACTTGAAAATAGAAGAGAAAAAAAAGAATACTTCATCCAGTAGTATAGTGATAAGAGAATACATTGGTAATGATGGATGAACTTGAAGTTCACTGCACAGATTACTACCAGCAAATCGACGGTTGGTTGGTCGTTCATGTACGATCACTTTATTTTGAAATGTCATGTGGAAGGGGAATCAGAAGTATACACAGAGTTCAAATTATAACCAGCCAGAGAGTGCTTTTTAACCCCTTCTCCATGCATAGACACTGATAGAGAGCTAAGTGCAGTTTCTGGTATCAGATGAAGTTAAGGTTCCTGAAGACTTGACATGAACTGGCATATGGTACGGGCACCCTTTTTGTTTAAGTCGCCTGTCCGTCTTAACTTAACTCACTTTAGTCAGTTAAAGTGCTTAATTTCTTGAAATTAAATGCGGAAATAAGTGACATCGGACAATGACAGAGAGATGTCTCAACTGTGTATCTTTTTGCACCCCCCCCCTCTCTCTCTCTCTCTCTCTCCTCAATCTCTGTTTCTCTATATATCTACATCTCTCTGTCTTTTTGTCTCTCAACCCCTCCCCCTCCCCTCACACACACACACACACACACTAGCACACATATGCTCTCTCTCCCTCTCTCTCTCTCTCTCTCTCTCTTTCTATCTTTCTGTCTCTCTGGCTTTCTGTATCTTTGTTTTTCAATCATTTACATACACACTCACAACTCTATATGTGTGTGTGTTTCTCTCTTTCTCTCTCTCTCTCTCTCTCTCTCTCCCTCATACCTATAAGCTCTTTTCCATATTTTCATTCTCATTCCCCTATCTGCACATTTGACATTCAAATAATCATCATGATCTTTTCATTGTTTTTACCCGTTCACTCCCACATTCTCCATCTATTCCACTTCCCTGCTTAATCTTTCTCCGGAATCTTGTCAAAATGTGCAAAGTGTGAGATTGAGACAGATACTATTATATACTTCACTTTTGTTAAGGATCTCTGATAATCATCGGTCGATCCGTTTCACAGGGAATCTCCCCAAAAAGATTAGCCGCTATCGGAAACAACTTTAACACCATTTTGTTGGCATACTTTCAAAAACTCTACACCTATATTAAAGCCAAGTTCGAGTAAGCTTCTAATCAAACCATAAGGGATTTTAATGATCGGTTCATCTACGGTCAATTCTGTTTTAGCAAGTGCGTAAATCCTCTCATATCCAGCTGCTGACAATAGCTTCCTCCTCTATTGGACATAAAAACCTTGCTTCTTAAATATTTCAGAAAACAGTCTGATATCGTGGATAATGGATGTGTTAGTTCTAGAATGGGCATTTACAGCAGACACTACATGATGATTTTATTTTAAAAATACTTTTTCTTATTGCTTTTATCATCATAATTACAAATGGCAAGGGTCTGCATTATTCCTTGGAAGTAAGATATCAACAACCGTTTTTCCAATGTTTGTTCCAGTATACCCCGTTTTACCGTGCTCCTTTATAACAAGGAAAAACCAAAGAAAGCAGCCTCGTCCAAATATTATGTGCATTAGGATTCTCCCCTTTTCTGCCAATAATTTATACTTAAATCAGCGTATAGGAGCAATGAGATCTCAGTCTGATATTGAATCTATTTCTTAAATTATGTCGAAAAATAAGTGACACGCAAACGTGGATCTATGAAGGGTTCAAATATGCCACCCCCAATAGGAAAATTAAAGGTATTCCCATCGCAGGCCTACATCATTGTTGGGGGGGGTTCATGCGGAAATCTTTTCGCCACCAACTAATCCGGAAATATTATAACACAACACCTCAATTTTAGTACCATGATGACCGTTGCTTGTTTGTATAGCAGCTGATAATCTTCCGCGATAGTGTAGTGTCTATATCGTAATGTAGGTCTATACGCTATTATTATAACTGTCACTATACTGATTAGTGTTGATCTAAACATCTGATTATATCAATCAGTCACTAAATTTGTAGTACTGTTCTTTCTTATGAAACGTAACAATTGGCAAAAAATCGTCACTTTTTACGTCATCATGGTTTTGTGCAATTTAATGCATTCTGAAATGAATAAAAACATATATAAAACTACTAATAAGTTAATGTCATTAGCAACAAACATTGGTTCACCCCGAGATGCCAATTCTAATAATCAAGTTCTAAGTTGAGAAATTGGCAGCAACCCTTGGTGATTTTTACAGCGAAATTAGAAACTAATTTTCAGCGTTTTGTGCAATTTTCACTCTTTCCTGGTGGCAATCATCCAGCAATCGGTCCCCATAGAGAGCAGAATGAGAGAGAGTGATGTGGTTAAGAGCGATTTAATTATTCCCAACATTCATGAATATTTCCTCCGGGAATATTTTTTGGGGCATCCCGCTGGCCCTCCCAGGCCCTTTTAATATGAGGGGGTCACAATTTCCGAGTAAAATTGTACAGGATCCAGGGTTAGCGGGAACCAGAAAAGGCCTTTTAATGTTTTCTTTTTACTCGTCAATAATGGGGGCAGTCGTTTCGCCTCTCTTCTGTATCCACATTGGAGTATGAGATGAGCGAAGCAAGATGATATTCAAAATCGAGGAGGAAAGAGGCGATGACTGCCTTTTTTTTCTTCTTGACAGTTCTGACAAAAGTCTCAAGAAGTGAGCAAGGCGACTTGATAACATCACTTTCAATCTTGATGACATCGTCGATCAGAGCTGATCAAGTGAATAACCGTCATTTCATACTCTCGATGCAAGGTTTGACTAGCTAGAAAGCAGTCCTATAACACGTAGATCACTTCACGACTCTACACATTAATGGGATGTGACTGATCTCTGACAACCCATTAAAGTCATTCTATTGACCTTTGCATTATTGTCTTGATTTCATTTATTCTCTCTTGATTTGTGAACATGAATTGGATTATGAGCTCATCGAAGCCGGGGCAGCCCCGGGGAACCTCAAGGGGGTAAACAAGGGGAAAGGGGTGAAGCTGAAATGAGCTAAACCCTCTCTTCCTCAGTTTTTCTTTTTCTTTTCCGACAGGGGATTTATCCCACCGATTATGCCTGTCCAGGGACGTTATAAGAGTCGAACAAAGGTGGGAAAGAAGTAGGAAGAGAGAATAAGAGAATGGTAGGATGAGGGAGAGGAACAACCGTAGAACAACCGTAGGAGAGAAAGAGAGATGGAGGGATAGCGAGAGACAGAGAGAGACAGAAAAAAAAAAACAGAAAGGAGATACGGGTAAAAAGTAAGAAAGAATCGATGAGGGGGTCAGGTTTGGATACCGACTAGGGTGGGTTTTTTTTTACGGTGTCTTCCCAGGGTTGAGCAAATATCCACACCCTCATTTGATGAGAGACATCGAGTATCATTATTGAAATATGACGAAAAGCTCGATTAAAAACGGGTAATGAAGTTAATAGAGACACAATAAGTCACTTGGTCATAGTGTTATATAAGCTCAGGCTTTAATATTTAATTTCATAACTGTAAAAAGGATGCTCAAGTAATGTACCGTATCATAGCATGAGGTAGAGACTACACACTCAACATTTTCCGACGAAAGTTAAGGCCAACCGACCAAATTGTCATGTTCACTGGATTGACAAAATGTTTAATTTATCCCATGGGGGCAATATTGTAAGGGGTAGGGTGTGGCCACCCCTACCCATTTCTGGCTGGCTACGTGAGTGTGATCTTACTCGATAAGATTGAGGATCAAATACGATTAAGCATACTTTTGATCACATCAAAGACAAAGAACAATCAAATAATCGAAACTGCTGTAGGCAGGACGATGTATTTTTTCGTTATCCAACTCTTTATTAAACTCAGAAGTAATTACATCTCAACTTTTCTTTATAGCTTTTTGATTCACCGCTTTCTTTGTTCAAGGACGATTGGACCTCAGTCTGTGACTAATATTCCTAGTTGTAATCCGTTTTGTATATAATTCGACAAGTTAGAAGCGCAGCTTTGTAGATCATCGATTTTTCCTTCACCCTCAGATGTCATTCTCCTGGGTCCGTTTACATCTTACCTATCCCCGAGCTTTCATTAAAGGGTGATTCAGCAGTAGTCTGACTAATAACATCGCCTAGATACATCGCGTCTCGTATTACCTAGTAGATAAACGTTGTCCTTATGAGGTCATGGTTATACCCACTCCAGGCAGGCAGGGGCACCTGATCAGGAGAGACTCAATGATCATCTGGGAGGCACTCTCTCTTTTGCCTTTAATTTTTATTTTTTTATTTATCACTTTATATTCTCATAGTATAAGGCTCCTTACCCTCGCCCATCCCACCCTCCACACACATTGTTTCTCTTGGGTTCTTCACTGTACCCAATACATTTTAACTTTTGCCTATGTAGATGTTTTAATTATGTGATCATTTTTTTTTTACTCCGATAAGTCAATAAATGAACAGTGTAATTCCATTTAATTAAACTGCTCTTTTCCAATGTTCTTTTCTCTATACGACTACAGGCAATTAGAACGATAGGGGAGGTGCAATCCCAAAACTCGCAGTTAACTCCCTCTCTCCCCCCCCCCCCCAAAAAAAAGCATAAGTAATTATAATCTTTTTAACGAAATGTTTATTAGCTCACGCATTTAACTATATCATTGCAGCCGTGTTAGCTGATAAAATGCCTTCACTGCACCGAAGTCCGTATTATTTTTCCCTTCCCAGGGAGGGGTCACTTTAAATAAGCTCAGGCTATATACTGGGGAGGGGGTGCCAAGTTTGATTCTCTTCTGCTCACTCATGATTGGTGTTATGAAGTTTGACTAGAAGGGATTACCTGGTTACATCTTATCCTATGAGATTCACAAATGCTGACAACCGTTCATTAAACCTGCATGACACACTCTCGTCTCTGTCAACAGGTTGTTTCATACCGAGTTCACAGAAAACCCAGATGTACCCCTGCATGCCTCATGAGAGATCTCAATATTTAGCCATGATTGTATTCATATTGTGTCCAACGTGGATGAAACTCTAATAGTTGTAACTATGAGTAATCTATTCTTCTTTTTGTGTGTGTTTGTCCAAATTTGCGCCCCATGTCTCAAATATATTAATAGTATTAATATGGCTTGTTTACCCAGGGTAGCCTCTATAACTGCGCGAAATAGCTGCTCATTTACGTATAGGAGGGGTTAAATCTTTCAAGTTCGACAACATTTCTGATGAATGTTCTTAAAATCGATACACTTAGTAATATCGTCGTTAGATATCATTTAACGAAATCAAATATGCAGACATTTGACTGATAAAATGTTTCAGCTGCTCATTACAGAATCTGAGGCCTCTTTAATTGAGGAGTGTAG